GAAGGCACTATTATAACCTGTGCATAGCTGATAACAATTATATAACAAATGCAATATTTGTATATCTTTATTGTAAAGCTTCACCTTAATATTTAATTTACTTTCTGACCTTCCTACCAACTCCAGATAGCTTTGTTGCCTGTCTTAATTCGTATCTCGAGCCAGGTGCTGCCGTTGTTCGAGAACCTGTGTCTCAAGCCACCTGCTGCCGTAATTAGAGTTCCTAGGCTGAGTCCCATAAAAAAGCACTATATTCGTCCGTAAACAAACATGTAGTTGCATTCCGCTAATCTGTCCAAATTTGGGAAGTAAACAATGCCGATCTTTTAAAGAGGGTAAGCCAAATCCCTACTTTTTGTTGAATTTTTTTGAAAGACCGACAGAAGAGAGAGAGAGTAAAAAGATACTACTTGACCAAATAAAAAGAGTGCAGCTTAAAGAAAATAACAAAATATTTTGCTGTTCCCTAGTGTCTTTAAAGAAGTATGACCTAAAAGCTTCGTCGACGAAGAAAGAGAGGTGTCCACAAAGTAAGAGTCCTCTTATTTACCAGAATTTTTTATACAAGGGTGCCTCCTGCTAGTTATCTTGTATAATAATGCTTTTGGCTTGCATGCCAAATGTCACCTGTAGAGGAGTCCCGCTAGACAGTATGTTGACTTCTAGACAAACCACTATGTTAGACCACGACTCTCCAACAAAATATATATCTTTCTTCCGTAAGAATTTTGGACCGAGTGATCGTCAGAAAGAGTTGATTTTTGGATTTTCATTTTGTAATATTAATTTTTCTAACTTATTTGTATAGAATTTTTATTATTTATTTGAAACTATAAAAAGTAGTAAAGCTAATTTAAAAAACAAAATTGATTTTACAAATTAAGAATTAAGACTTGTTCTATTTTTGATAATTATAAAGACCTGTAAATAAAAATAAATATTCGAATATATATGATAAATAAATATAAATAAAAATTTGGATAATCAAATCTTTACAATAATATTTAGGAATATTATATTTATAACACCAGTGTTACATATAACACTCTATCACATGATATTTAGATAGTATATGTGTCAATCATGCGTAATTATATACTATTACATACAAAAGTAGTAATAGTGATTATTCTCTGAGTTTATTATGACAGGTGCGGAAGTTTAATTAAGTAAATAAAAAGATATATACAATTAGAACCTTTTGTTTTTCTTTTTCACTTCGTAACCCCGTGATTTCGTAAAGTAAAAATAGCTTTAATCAATAAAAATTCCAACACATGTCGAAAGTGCAGTAAAGAGTGTATTAAAAGTCTTACCTTTAAGTAGACACATATATTATGCTGGTATTTTGGAATCTTGGTCTTTATTATTGCTAGTAAATTCTTGAATTAATAAAGTGTTTTGCAGTTCTTTTGTTTTCTTTTTGCTCTGTGAAAGTTGTCAAAGCCATAAAGTTGTCAAAGTCGTGAATCGTTAAAGTCATAAAAGTTGTCAAAGCTGTGAAAATCCTAAAAGTCATGAAATTAGTAAAGTGTTTTGCAGTTTTTTTGCTTTTTTTTTGCTCTGTGAAAGTCGTCAAAGTCGTGAACTATTAAAGTTGTAAAAGTTATCAAAGCTGTGAAAATTATAAAAGTCATGAAAGTCATATTAATCAATAAAAATTTCAAGCATCAGAAGTGTAATAACAAGTGTGTTAGAGCCATACTTTTAAGTAAACACATTACTGTAGTGTTAGTTAACTACACACCAGTGTCTTGAAATCTTGATTTTTGTTATTCTTGATCTAGTAAAAGCATTAGATGGTCCTTTTTTCTTATTCTAGTAGATCTTGTAATTGTTAATGAATTAGAATCAAAGCTTATTAAATTACTGCATATTAACTTATTTATATTTTTAGACCTATTTTAACCTCAATTTCCATTCTTCTATTGCTTCCAATTTTTTTTTCTTTTCTGGTCATCTTCAAGTAAAAACTATTTTTAGCACCAGTCTCTGAGATAACACTTATGAAATCTCAAGTATTTGATTTAGAAACTTACAAATCATCAGAAAACTTATATGAAAGAGATAATGAAACTCATGAAGGATAGCATTTGACTGAGATTTTTGGACTGCTATCTCATATTAACGAACAAATTAAATTTTCTATTAATGATGTATTTGATTTCAAAACTTATAAAAGAGATAATAAAACTCATAAAGAACAGAATTTGACTATGATTTCTGAACCATTACCTTATATTAATGAACAAATTGAATTATCAGAAAACTTGTATGAAAAAGATAATAAAACTCATAGAGAACAGCATTTAACTGAGATTTCTGGACCGCTATCTAATATTAATAAACAAATTGAATTATCAGAAAACTTATATGAAAGAGATAATGAAACTTATAGAGGACAGCATTTGACTAAAATTTTTGAATTGCTACCTCATATTAACAAACAAATTGAATCATATGAAAGAGATAATAAAACTTATAAAGGACAGCATTTGACTGAGATTTCTAGACCACTACCTCATATTAATGAACAAATTGAATTTTCTATTAATGATACATTTTCAAGTTGGCTAATTGCAGAGCATTATGTTTCATAGTATAGTTACTAAAAAGGATTTACTGCTATTAAAGTCTGTAATAAAACTGACAAAAATGGCCATTTAACGAATTTATTCTACAAATGTAAATTTGATGATACATATCAAGCAAAAAAAACTGTAAACCTACAAAGTCAGCATAATAAGAGCTCAAAAAAAGTTAATTGTACTTGGAAGCCTAATTTGTCATTAGCAACAGGTTTTATCCATATTATTAGTTTAGATAATCATCATGTTAAACACCAGCTTTTACCAGATACCAGGATCTTTGCTCCTATTAACTGTCGATTCTCTGACAAATGTCATAAGGATATTTGCCACTTAGTAGTTAGTAGACAATATGATTTATCAACAATAAGGTCTCTTTTATCCAGTAAATATCCAAATCAGCCTTTTTTTACAAGGAATCTTGCTAATACTGTGGCACAGTTACGGCAAGAATATCGTGTAAAAGAAAATGATGCATCTTTACTTTTAACAAAGCAAAGAAGCAGATCCTAATTAGTATATCAAACCTCTAATTGATTCCATCAGCAACTGACTTCGTGAAATTTTTTAAATAGATCCAGGCCAGCGAGAAAGATGGATTCAGTTTTGTGATATAATTATTCAGGATAATATAGCACAAACAAATCATTCTAATTTTTCTTTTTGGTTAACAATTACAACAAAACTAGAATTGCTACACAGGCTTTAATGCCTGATGAAACTATCGAATCATTTCAATAGGTTATTCAGAATTTAGAAAAAGCAACAGAGATTCCACCAAGGGTTTTAATAACAGACAAAGATCTTTCAATGAAACATGTTGTAGCCCATAGTTTTCTAAATACAAAGCATCTTTTTTGCTTATATCACTTAAGCCAGAATATCTTAAAAAATCTCCAGAGCAAGCTTGGCAAACAGTATTCTGATTTTATTAAAGACTTTTACCAAGCATATAATAGTTTAAGCAAAAGTGTATTTGAAGTATGATTTGCAGAGCTTTTAAATAAATATCAATGCGCAACTTCATATTTACAAAAACTATATTCTATTAAAGAATTGTGGGCATACACATATATATTTAAAACTTTTACTAGTGGAATACAATCAACCCAAAGAGTCGAAGGGCTCAATAGGCATATTAAAACTATTGTAAACAGTTATCTACCTTACTACAAGTTATGGAGGCAATTAATTAGCACATTGAATATGAAAGTCTCAATCAACGATTTACTGTATGGTTTCAAGATCAGATTAATTACAACAACCAAATTATATTGCAGTATGTTTTTTTTTAGATTAGTAAACAAATTGATAAGTACTTAATGCCGAATTTAGTAGCTGAACAACAAAAACAAATAGTTCAGTTTACAATATACCAAGCTCAAGTACTCTTACTTAGTAACACTAATTTAAATAATCAAGTAAGTACTTTATTGAATTTGTTTTACAGACTATTTATATAGAAATAGGGTTAGCATTTTTATTAGTTGTAGCTATATATTATTAGTGAGTATGATTTTAGGCAAATAGCCTTTTGGAAAAACTATACACTCTATTTTAATAGCTGCAAGATGCTAATACATTGTTGAATTCACAAAAATTTGAATATAATGAAGATTTTATTGAAAACATATATGATATTTTACAGTCATATTTATCAGCTTTAATCACTAAAAACGAATATTCAATTATTCAAGAAATTTGAAAAATCACATGTTTGACTTCGGCTAAGTCAATTTACTATATTGTATTGTTTAATGACAGACATCATTTGTGCACTTGTCTTTTACTAGCTAGCTATAGGATTGTGTGTTGGCATTTTTTTTGTATATTGCTTAAGTCAAATTTTGCTAATTTTCATATAATGCTATTGCCTATACGATGGTGTAAAAATGAAGTAACAGAATCTAAACGGTCTCAAGAACCATTTTTAATAGCAAGTTGTAATACTGAGTTAGCTCCAATTACACACCAATTAAGTACTATGACAAATATGAACTTATTTCGAATTGATAATAATCAAGAAAATAAGTTTCAAGAACGCATAGAAAAGAAAGTTTGATTTAACAAAACTATGAGTCTTGTGAAACAGGCTATTACTTTACAAGATAGTGATAAAAATGATTATGAGTTGGAAACTTTCTTGAAGAATTATGTTGAAAAGAAAAAAATTAAAATTGAGAGAGAAACACAACAAAAGAAGTTTCGAATTTTTAAGGAGTATCAGAATTCAGATATTCTATCTATACAAATTGGTGAACAATTAGTTTCTATCGAAAATGTTGCAGATCCTGCATATCATGTTAGTAAAGAGGTGCTATACAAAAAGTGTATTAAAGGGGAACAAGAAAAATACCAGGTGAAAAAAAAATCAATATCGAAACCAAGAGTTTGTGAATTTTGTCACAAACCAAATTATTATCAAAGCATATGCCCACTAAAACAAACTAGTATGTAGTATGTGTTAATAGTCAGGTATATTTTAGATGTTATAGTTAGGGTAAGCATTAATTTTTTTATCTTAATTGATGATCCTCCAGTCAACTGAAGAATGATCATAGTAAAATGTGACTCAGATTACTATATAAATTTACTAT